GGAATCGTGTCTGCCTCAGTTCTCTTGCCATGACAGTCCAGCTTCTCCAGAGTAAGCTGGTTGATTTTTCTATGCCAATAAAGGTTATTGAATTGAATTGAATTGAAACAGAATTCTTGAGTTATCAGAATAGATAAGGAAATAGCATGAGATGTGACTGCCACATACTCGGGGATTAAAATGTTAGATGGAATTTAAAATATCTTATGGTTTAACACTTTACTCTCCTGAAGTTTTGTTTTCACCCAGATTAGCATGTTTTTATATAACAGGACAACACCAGTATTTCAGTGCAATCCTGTGCATGTTTGCTTAAAAGCTACTCCCATGTTTCTAAATTCCAGTAATGGATCTTACTTCCAAGTTAGTATGTGTGGGATTGCAACTTTACAGCACAGGTATATATGCATGCTTACTCAAACATACCATGGCAACATTATGGCTCATTCCCTTGTACATGTATTTAAAGTTACAGCATCAAACTGAATATCAACGCAGTTGAAAATATGAGTAGACTTGCACTCTTAAATACTTAGCAGTTTCTCAACTTGATATTTCCTCCCAGTCCTGGTCTGTTACCATAGTGCTGCATTAAAAATGGCTGATGATACAGTTTACATTATGGATTTGTAGCTTGGTTTCTGATAGATGCATGGCAGCTGCATCGCATGATGTCATAAGTGCAGTGTATCTGACTACTGCAGTCACTCATTGTTAAGGGATGCAGGTTACCTGAGATGGTTAGTAAGAATTCCAAGGTGAGGCAGATTTCGTATGTTTCTTGTCCTGTGCATTGCTGCTGCACAGGGCTGCAGTAGATTGCACTATCAAGAAACTTCTAAATGTCTTTCCTTCTCTGTCTTTTTTCATAGATATCTTGTAAAATGATACCTGGTCATAGATAAAAATTTCCAGCGTTTTTTACAATTAATTCTCAAGGTGATGAACTGTGGCAGGTGGCATGCATCATTATCATTAATAGATACAAAGAATAAGGGTAAATGGTTGCACGCATGCATATGATAGCAATGTCTATAAAAGTTGAAAATTATAAACCTCTGGTTTGCTAATCAGCCCAACTCTTTTTGACTTCAGCAGGAACGCTGTGAAGTTTAATTAAGCCTGGAGATTTTTTTAAAGCTTTTGGATATTTTATAAATGAATATCTTATCTTGTATTTGTAACGTTATTCAAACTATCATATCTTTAACATCAACAAATACAAAGCACTGACAGAGATCCAGCAAATAGCAGAGTGAAGCTAAAAACCAAGAGAGCCAAGAAGGTACTGCAGGTCCTGGGTGCCTAAGGCTTGGCATGCCATCTGGTCCTGGCAAACGTCATTGTGAAGCACATTCCACAGTGTTTGGTGCCATTACCACAAAGGCCCTGCTCCTAGCAAACTATCCATCACGTTTTCCTGCTCTGTTACGATTTGTTTGGTGCAGGCATTGAAAGCAACAGCTGTGGGGATGAAAGGAGTACATGGGTTAACAGATCATTCACTTCTCCATCTTCCAATATGAGGTACTTGGTCTTCTATCAGTAATGTTATTCTGCATTCAGCATGGGGCAGACAGGCCAATCTCTGTGCAAAATAATAACCAAACACAGTTTTAAAAATAGAAAAAAATATTGAGAGACACTGTCACTGATCTCAAAGTAGGGACTGAGGAACAAAGCAAGCTTCAAAAAAGGACAGAAACAGCAGAGTTTCAACTCAGTAGGAAGTTTGTCATCAGAGATTTAACTCAAGCTAAGGAATTCTTATTACACAGAGGTGAAAACTGTGTTGGTGATGTATGCATACATGCAGTTAAACTGCATGACCCACTGCTGTGAATTTTTGTTGCCTAACAGGGCACTGATTGCATTATGAGCAGTGTTCTTGGTTGCACAAGATTTACATGACTAGTAATGTGACTGGCTTTTCATTGGTTAGCAATAATTAACCATACTGAGTGATCGAGTTTAACTTCCTTATGCATAAATCAGTACAAGGATTCTGGCCTTTACATGTTCACTGGTTTACATAGTGCCAGAAGGATTCAGTATCAGTTTTGTAAATGGACGTACTAATCATATCATCAGCATCAGTGTCAATCTTTTCTGCATTTAATTCTCCTTTTACTTCATTGTTTTGAGTATACAGTATAACCAAAATAAAACTCTGCATCTGAGGAAGTGGTCTAGAGTCCATGAAAACCCATGTTATAGTAAATGTCTTCATTTGACACAGAACTCTTTTGTCATCAGAGTCATATGTGAATATGATAATTTAATTATTACAGAATTCACTCTTTTTCATCCTGCATATTAATGTATGGAAGTTTTGCTGATGGCAACGGTTATTTAAGTGCTTGCAACAACCAAACAATGGCTTGCAGGTGTGAAGGCGGTCCAGAGGAGAGTGTGCCGTCCCACGAGACAGAGGGGGGAGAGGGAGGAAGGAAGCCAGAAAGGCTGGTGTAGAGACAGACTCAAAGGAGAAGACAGACTCAAAGGAGAACTTGACCAAGGAGGGGGCGAGAGCAAAGCGAAGCGGGAAATTTGAAATATGTTTGGTGGAGGAGCGCGGGAACTAGAAAGGCAAGGAGCAAGAGTTGTCAGTTTGGGAAAGGGGGTATAAGTAGCCAGGGAGAGTGACGGTTCAAGGTTGAATTAGAGTTGTGGAAACGTAAGAGAGAACTGGAAAGGCTGAGGGAATATGAGAGGGTAAAGACCCAGGAATTATTAAGAGACTTTCCTAATCTGAAGTTGGGGGAATTGCTTCCAGACCCTACCCCTAAGGAATTGGGCGAAGTGAGGCATGAGACCCTAGAGCAGTCTGTGATAGTGTTTCCCAAGAATAAAGGGAGAGGACGACAGGCGATTCACGATACAGATTCCCGATATCAGATTCCTGATACAACACTCCCCCTCCTGAGGGAGACT